TTCGTAACCAGTACTGCCACATGCAAATTTATATCGGTATGCTCTTTGTAAAGCATCATTGCTCCAACAGGGAACTTTTTTGTAATCTCCACACAAAAGTTTTATTTGATTGTCGTCAAAAAGTGTTCTTATAGCATTTGGTATTTTCTTCATTGTGTGTATTTCCTTTTCCAGACGTTTGATTTTAAGTTTTGCTTGAAGAAGTTTTTTTTTCGTTGTTTTACGAAGTTTCTCACTTTTTGTATAACGATTAAGTAATTTTTTCATCTTTTGTTCCTGACATAAATTACCAAAAATTTTATTTCTTATCAGTTTGTTTTGTTGCATCATAAAGACTTCTTCATCTTCAGATATTGTTGCTTCACTGCTAATATCAGTATTACTGTTTTCAGTTTTGTTAGCTGGGTTTTCATTAATTTCAATACCTTGTTTTTTAAGCGAAAGTAATTCTGCATCAGGTATTTTTGTTTGATTTTGGGTCTCTGGATCTTTGGATCTTGGAACTTTGGATGGAGTTTGTGGTAATAACTGTTGTAGTGATCCTGCAAAACAACATTACCCATACAGCACAGAAAGTTAAAATAATGTTGCTGAAACGTTGCATTGTTGAAGGTTGAAGTATAAATATCTTTTCTACGTTGGATGTAGGTTAAAGTTTGTACATTAACTCTTTATATCGCTGCAACGTTAAAACAATCTTGAACAATTCTATCTATTTGAGTGTCAAAAAATTATTATTTTTTGGCGCTCAAATAGATACTTAAAAAAAGTATAATTATGAAATCTATATATACATATGTATAATATTTTTGCAACGTTCAGAAATTTTCTGAGCTAAGATTGGATTATTGTTTTATAGGAATAATCCACACTTCCAACAGTTGTAAAAATATCCTGCTAATTAAACGCGACCAATGTTAACTCAATATAATTTAACAATGTTTTGTAAATGTTGAATTGTAACGTTTACAAGTCATTACAATTTAGCGGACATTAAACATTTTTGCAATATCTTTTCAACGTTGAATCTTATACATTATCTACATTATCTACATTATCAACATTAGCTTTAATTTATAGGATACAATCAAATTCGGTAATATAATCGTGTATTTGTCCGTGCATGTATGCGTGCATGCGTGTAAGGATGTGTTGATTTATCCATAATTTTAAGTTATTTAACTTGTATTTAACCATTGATATATAAAAAAGCCAGAGTAATACCAGAGTTAGCAAATAATGTCGGAACAGCATTATTTTTAAGTTTTAACATTCCATCAGCTCGATGTTGTTCCCAGGCTTCAGGTGCAAAGTGAACCTTTAATTTAAAATTTTGATAAGATTATTGTTATCATATAATGTAAATTGACTAGAAATAAAAAATTTCATTTTTATTGTTACTTGACATATCGTTGAATGTTTGTTTGGTGTCCAATTTTTGCGTTTAATATTGTTAACCCAAACTGCACATCTTGTCGGATCTTTTAAGGGAAAGTGACACATTTTAAATTTTTTCTCTGAAGAATTGTAGCAATTTGGTACTACACAGCCAGGCATTTTATACCTATGTTAATAACAATTATAATTATATTAAAAGTTTTACATATAAATTTGCTATTATAACCTCTCAAGAAAAATAATTCCAAATAAGTAAGACATAGTTATTTCAATATTTGTATATTTTTATAGCACTTTATCCAACTTACTACATAAATTTAATGGAAGATATACTAATTGAATCTCCTATTTGGTACTTACTCTTAAAAGAATACTTACACGTAATTTGTATAAACAGATTAGTTGATATAAACCAAGCAACAAGACTTGTACTAACCTATTTTACTAGAAGTAAAGCATTGCTTAAATCATGAATCGTTTCTATCAAAAATAATCTAAAGCGTAATTTAGTACTTATTGAAACTTTTCAAATATGTACAGATCTAAGAAATATAGTTCTCAAAGTTATTCGCTACATTCAATAATTAGGATTTTACTTTTTCCGCCCTTCTTGGCAGTTGCATATGGCGGATCGAAGAACCAATCAAAAATCGTTAACTAGGTGGCCAAACTCTTACTAGAGGAACTCTACTCCGCTCTGCCTCCACGGTAAACAGATGGGATGGAGGGGAGACACACACACGCGCAATACACACACGCCACGCACCAGCCAGCGGGGACGCGCCTTCATGCGCATGTCCGCGCACGTGACTTCAATAAAGTACCAAGTTCACGAGAACGGGGGTACCTTTAGGCCCCTCTCGCGTGATATCCCCTTGGGCTCGATCATGAATCTTAAGGGTTGCAGTTACATTGCAGAAACGTTGCAATCTTGCAGAGACATCGCAGCGATATAAAATTGCAAACTTTCGATAGCTAATATTGTAGCAATGTTTCAAAAATAATAAAAATACTATATTTTCTATTAAAATTTTTTTTCTAATTACGAGAATTTTATAATGTTATTTTCGTTGATAGCAATAATGCACGAATTATTAAGTACTTGATCAATGCGGTGTTGCTCGCAATCTCCATCTATTGCGAAGCGACATAATCTCCTTAGGTTGCTTCGCAATAGCTTGCTGTGTATTGAAAAAGGCCCGGGTGCATATGTAATTAGTAAATTCTCTGCTTATGTACAACAACGACAAATTATTCCAAAAATATTGCGCTGCAACATTGCTATAATGTTGCACCGCAATCTCTCTGAGGGCGGACATTTCAACGTTACTGCAATCCTCCAGAAACGTTGCAGCAATGTTGCGCAACGTCGCTGCAATATTGCAATCTTGCAAGGTAACATTTCTGCAATCTTCCTGCAATCTTTCTGTGCTGTGTGGGTTTTTCTATAGCGTAAACTCGTGAGAGGCGAAAAACTTCATTAACGAATTCAACACTTGTCGATGAAAATTTTCACTCATCACGAGTTCACGGAATCCTCATTGGTTCTCACTAGTCAGCAAAGGCACAAGCAAGCAATCCAGTGGAAAAAATAGTATCGTCTGCCGCTGACTTTACTCCTGACAAAGAAATAAAAGTAAAATATACGATTGCATCCAGTTACTATTTGCGCTCGGTGTTCCTCGTAAACAGAGTCGGTTCTAAGCTAAGCGGGGCCGGGTGCAAACAAAAAAAAACCGAATTCGGCCACGGAATTCGCTAAATTAGTTGGTTGATAAAAATGATACAATTTGTACCATTTTTATAATTTTTGCAGGATATTGATCGAACGGTTGTTATACTTTGTTCAAAATTCCGAGTAAAGTTTCAGAAATATTACGTATAATTCGAGCAACTTTATTTTTTTAAATTGAACATCATTTTATTTCCATGTACTACATAAAACAAATATTACGTACAATACTTGAACATTTGCTAATCTCTAATGAAGTTCGTAAGTTCTGATGTAACAAATATAAATTAATCACATGCACACACACACACCACACAACATAGGAAAATCAATACTTTAGTAATATCTTAAATACTGCACCTCTTGCACGACGTAGAAAGATCTTAAATGTTGTCTATCCTATAAAAAGTCGCGTGAGGGTGTGTGTGCGCGCGTGTGTTTCTTTGTTCATACAGAGCAGAGTCGTCAAACCAAAAATCGTGATCTGTGAATCACTTTTAGAGTCGTTCAGAATCCGCAACATTATTAGTCGTTTCGTGTCTTTTGCCAAAAGTAATGCACTGTAGAATCGTAATATTATACATGTTATCATTTCACATTGAGCTTCACCAACATTTTCGTTTCCAGTTAATCTGGTATTACTCAATGAATGTCTACGTTTACATAAAGAGTACTTAAAAGAGTTACAGAAAATGCAACCGAAGAATTAATATTTAAAATGCTATAATAATTCATTCCCACACAACAAAATATATGTGAGACATAAATTAAATATAATTTCACCTGTCATTTTGGAGATATCTTGTAGATGATATAGCCTAAATATTTTAAGGATGTCACATTTCTGATATCTTTTTCTGTTATTTTTTTAAAAATTATTGTTTACATTTTTATTATTTATTTTGCTATAGTTAATTCTTATTTAACTTTTCCGCAAAAAAAAAGTTTTCTTAACTTATCTAATCAAAAACAAAATAGTACGACAATAAATGAAAAAGTATTATGAGTATAATACTTTTTCATTTAACAACAATAATAGAATAAAAAAGTAAAATCTAATTTATGGAGGCCGTTTTCCTTAATAACTTATGTCGGAACTGATAAAGAAAAAATATGTTTCATGTGTATTACATTGCCTATTTTGTAATACGTCAAGTCCGAGTTCACTAAAATATATTGTAGATGTCTAATATTTCATATAAAATCAAATATATCTCAGATGAAATAATCATGACTTTTTACAATCTGGAAGATATCTGTCAGATATTCAAGCGACATCTGAATAGCTTCTTGTATCAGATATTGTAATCTTTAGATATCTCCTAGATATTTTTGTAACAGATATTGCTGTGTGGGTTACGCATTGACAACAAACGCTGTTCTTGATTTCTGAATTGTGATATTTTCGTTCTTACCTCTGATTGCTTTAAAGCTTAATTAAAGCATCATCGGAATCGGTACTTGAGGTGGACCTGTAATTAAACAAGAAATTAATAACGCATTAAAAAAATATGACGGAATAATTATAATATTTTAGACGCTATATGTATGTATGTTTATAACCATATCGCTCTATTTTCAGGCAAAAACTTTCAGTTTTAATATATAAACAATCTGCAGTATTTAAACAATTACTTTATTATTTATTTGTATAATAATTAACGGCTGTTAATAAATTTACTGACATTACTGACTTATTTTATCACAATGTTCATTCGTAGAAATCAAAATGTCGGTAATATCAATACTTAAAATCCACATTTACGTTTGTTATATATTATCTTCTATAATGACATAAAATTGAGTTTCCTCTACCTTGAATGTTGGGTATAGTGTGCGTTAATCACTTAATGTTTATGCATAATTTTATTATACAATGCACAAATGTTAAACTTATTTCGGGAAATATTAATAATTATTAACACATCAAATACAATTGTGTATGTAAGTATATTAGATGCGTTTAACTGTTATTAATATCTAGTATTAATTTTTATTTATTATTAATGTTCTGCGAAATAAGTTTAACAATTCTTTGTATTCTGTGATAATACACTGAATAAATATAAAGTGTTACGTACGTACATACATTACACACCATTTTTCAAAATATAAGAAACTCATTATACATATACATTACGTATACTTTATAATTTTATAATATACAGGGTGAGTCTTTCCATATCAGACAAAATTTGTGAGAAGGTAGAACGGATCGAGATGAACGGAAAAGTCCTGTACCATTTTGCAATTTTCGTAATAGTTAACGAGTAATTAATTATTAAAAATCGTTGTCTTAGGCCGGCCTACCGCCCAATTCGAGCGCGTGGCAAGATGTGACTGCCTGGCGATCGATATTGCTATGCGCACATCTCGCCCCGCGCTCGAATT